TAAAAAAAAATGTGTTTTACGCGATTTTAAATGCATTGCCATCACAATGCCCTGTATATTGCGATAGAGCCGAGAAATGAATACTCACGTCACAGTTATGCATGATTGTCATCATCAGATTTCCGTTGCCGAAACCTCCGCCACTGCTTCCACGTATCTCGGCTTTCAGACTGACTGTTCCAGAAGCGTCAATCACGTCTTCGTCATGCACGTCTGGTTGGCCTCCACCTGCTCAGACCAGAAGTTACTATGAAAGAATGCAGGACGTTAGCGCTTCTCACAAAATTCATTCAGGAATCAGTCATCTCACCTCTGTTCTCCCACAAGGAGACTCTTGCTCCTTGAGCTCCTTGAATTCCGCAAACCAAGCGACCTCTCACGTAATAACTACGTTCGCCTCCCGATTGAAATAAAGGCCTAGAAAATAATAGGACACTTGTTCAGAAGTAAACGATCAGTCACTGTACATGAGTCAACACTCATTTTCACTGAAGCGATATTCTGAGTACAAACTCACCCGCCACCGTTGAAGCCTCCACGGCCGCCAAAACCGCCGACTGCTGAAAAAATTTAAAAAATCAGGGCATGCTCCAAGACCAGCATTCTAATGGGCATTTTTGTCAGACCGAGATACCAGAAAGTACTGAGAGGTGTAACCTTGAAACTCACGTCTTTGTCCGAAGCCGGGAAATTGTGCCGAAGCGAAAGGCAGTACAACCAGAAAAGCAATGAGGAACTGCATTTGCAGGTGCTTACAGTTTCTCTCTATTCTCGATGCACTTTCATGGTTATTTATACTAGATGATACGGTGACACAATTTAGCCCATCGGAGGATGATAAGAATGACCCTCCACTGACCCCAATGGTCAATGGGCATAACACAGCAAGCCGGCAGCCCTTTCGTAGAGAGCTATGTGTGATGTCTTCAAGAAAAGTGAGCTGCTAAGCCACCGATAGTAATTGTAGAAGTTGACAATAAAGGAACGTATGGAAGGATTCTGCCATAGGGCTCGGCGAGAACAGAAAGTGATTGAGAAAGGAGATTTCAAAGCTCATCTTGCTTGGAGAATGAAAACTAAAAAAGTAAATAGATTTCTCTGTGGGACGTGCCGAGCCATAAACTTGAACCGGAGAGTGCTCGCCTCGCCTCACCGTGGCTGTGCTCGGAAAGAGGGTAATCATTCCTGGGTTCGACCCGGGAGCTACTGTAACATAAATACAGCTTACAAACAGTCCCAGACCAAGCACTCAATGGTAAAATTGAAAAGAAAAGCGACACCGCATGCATCTTTACTGGAAGAGTGAGCAAAATTTCGAGCTCACCCATACTACCACTAAAGCTTTCAAATGTTATGGTTCGGGTCATCCGCACCCCGTACTGCAGAAGTGGCAGAGAAGAACTTTCATTAACGCTCGAATTGCCATTACCACACTTTTTCCAATTTATTACTAGAATTAATAGAAAGGGTGGAGATTTACAGAAGTCGTTTAGTCTCTGTTCCGGACGTTCGCCAATGTGATTTTTGCGTCACCTCTTAATTTTATTTTGTTGTAATTTAATTTTATGATATATTTTATAATATTTTGATCTTCGGAAAAAGCATCATCTTCTTCTACCAAACGTTAGTCCCGCACAGTCGCAGGGTCCGCTTTGAAAAAATAAGTAAATTAGGAGGTGACGAACGTCGAAAAATGCATCATAATGCTGAGAAATATCTGAATCATTAATGTCTTATCTCAATGCTGAAAGTGTTGAGCTTTACACTTCTCAAATCTTTGCGATGGCTTCTAGAGCAAGTGTAAATTTTTTCGTTTAGACTGCGCAGGATTTCGGAGCAGGCTAAGAGCAACAAATTTCTCACTCCAGAACAGGGTCAAGCGTGCGTTGAGGAATCCTCGACATGTCACAGGGGGGGGTCGTATTGGCCCGCTGGGGGAAGAGATCGGGCCATTTTGATGCAGTAGGATCATCACCGTCGGAGGACAAATATCAAGGATGAGTCGATGCCAGGCCAGAGGATTTCCAATGAAAATGATATTTCACCCACACAAAATTTTCGTGATTCTGAGGCGTCCGGTAATTCTTAGTTACTTCAGTGTTTTATCACCACACAAGTTAAAGAATCTGAATTTCGCACGCTTTCCAAGAGATATTTCATCTTTCAAGTAAGACCCCGAATCTGAAGGGATGTGAGGTACACGGCGCATCCGAGAAAGGGTCTAGTTGTTGCGCGCGCTTCAACTACGGCTCCTTGGACAAACAACCTCAATTCAGGAACAATCGAGAGAATTCTGAAAGTGTCCGTGCGCATTTACAGGGAGGTGTACACCATTCAACATTGCATCAACGGACTCTTCAGGGTTAAATTTATAAACTTGTAAATTT